CCTGGGACCATGACCTGAGCCGAATGCAGAAGTTTAACGACTGAGCCCCCAGGCGCCCCCAGAGCTTTTCTTTTAAAGCCACAAGGAACCCCTTCCTTTCGTGCACTGCTGTCCTATATCATGCTTTGCCTGTTTGCAGGAGACTTTGTTGGCTCATTCAAGCAGTATTTACTGACCTTTCTGTTTGTGGGTCGGGCCCTGTTCCAGGACCCTGCAGCTCGTAGAGAACAAGACAGAAAGGATCCCTCCTCTCCAAGCCCTTTCTTTCTGGTAGAGGGAGATAAAGAAGAGACAAGTAAACCAATAAACATGGGTCATCTTAGATGGCAATCAGTGCCAAGACGAGAATAAAATAACGATGCCCTCGAGACAGGCCGGGAGGGGGGAGTTAGGTAGAAGGCCTTTGGGCTGAGTCGCGAATGGTAAGGAAGCACCTCTGGGTCCCAAGGAAGGGTTCTCTGTTGCTTTTTGTTTCTGCTGATGCTTTAACTCATGGTGGCTTTTTTTCTTTGTGTGTCTCTTAATTTCCGGCTGTGGGAATAATTTTTTAAGATATTTTATTAGTTTATTTTTTATTTTTCACCTCTGGAACACCGGAAGATCTGATTTAGGCATCAAAAGATGTGTGATTACTCCTACCAGGCACGAGAGGGCGCTACTGCCGTGATAAATTAAATTTCTCCCGGAGAGATGTTCCAGACCTGAAGTGCCGTGAGTTAGGCACGCAGTTCCTGGTTCACAGAGGAGACTCTTATTCTTAACTTCCGTCCACCACGAGGGAGTGGTAGGGTTTCTTTGTAAATACCCTTTTTGGTGGGTGGGTGGACGTTTGCCGGTTTACGCTTTCACTAAAGGTGTATGCCTTTCCAGGATCTTGGTTTTTGAGTCTTGGGTTCATGTCCCATGTGTGTGGTGGACTCAAAGTCTAGTCTTCAGCTCTGTGAAGTTCTTTAACCTCCCAGGTCTCAGCATTAGTGTGAGCCCTAGGGGCAGCTCCAATTCCAACACCCCAATTTGCACTTACTTCCTTGGGTTTTTGGTTTTTTTTTTTCATCTGAGGAAATTTTTTTTAATTTAATTTAATTTTATGATGTTATGTTAGTCACCATACAGTACATCATTAGTTTTTGATGCGGTGATCCACGATTCATTGTTGGCGTGTAACACCCAGTGCTCCACGCAGTACGTACCCTCCTTAATCCCCATCACCGGGCTAACCCGTCCCTCCACCCCCTCCTCTCTAGAACCCTCAGTTGGTTTCTCGGAGTCCATCGTCTCTCATGGTTGGTCCCCCTCCGATCCCCCCCGCTTCATTTTTCCCTTCCTTCTCCTAGCGTCCTCCATACTGTTCCTTAGGTTCCCAGCAGCAATGTCCGCAATAGCCAAACTGGAAGGAGCCGAGATGTACTTCCTTGTTTTGAAGGGGCGCTTGGGAAGTTCCCTTACTTCTTGAAAAGTTAGCAATGGTTTTAAGATCGCATTTGTAATAACAGATCTGGAATGTCGCTGCCTTGTAGTAGCAGGGCTCTAGGTAAAGCCTAGAGCACCAGCCTGCCAGAGGGGATGTCCGGAAGACCGGTTTTCCTTCTTTCATTTACTCATTCATTCATTTGTTCAAAGCTCTTCATTGAGCAACTCTGTGTACCCGCTAGTGTTTTGATGATAAACAAAAACAGACAAGGTCTCTGCCTCACGGAGTTCATAGCTTAGAGGAAAGACAATTACCATAAAGGAATCACACACAGAAAAGCCTGTGATTCCAGATGAAGTGGGGATTACGTGAGAGCACAAGCTAGTGGTTCTCAAACTGCGGCCCACACCGGCAGCATCAGTAGGAACCTAGGAAAGCACAGATTCTTGGAGTTTCCTCAAACCTACTGCTTCAGAAACCCCAGCATGGGACCCAGTAATCTGTATTTGAACAAGCCTCCCAGGTGATTCTAAACCACTGGCATAAGCCAAAGGAACTTGACCTAGACAGAGGGGCTAAGGAGAGCTTCCCTAAGGAAGTGGTGATGACAGCAGAAGGATGAGTGGGAGGTGCACAGGCAGTGAGAACTGTACATGCAAATGGCCTGTGGTGAGAGGGAACATGGTTGTTTAAGGAACCAAGAGAAGAGGAATGTCCGAGGGCCATGAAGGTTGTAGAAGGAGCTTGCCCTGATTCCTCAGAGTAATGGAAAGCCATCAAGGGGGACAAGGAGAGTAGGAAAAAGTTGAGTTATTTGTCCAGAATCAGGACAGGACCAGGGCTGTGGCTTTAGGACTGAGAAAGAGGGAGTGAGTCTTAGAAAACTTTGGGAGCAGGGTTAGCAGGACCTGGGGACTCCTTTGATGTGGGAGGAGGGGAGCTTCTCTGAGACCTCTGGCCTGAGGACATTCCTGGGTCACAGAGCACTGACTTCAGCAGAAGCAGGCTGCGGGGGAACGCGAGGCCCTTTTGGGAGGCTCAAGAGACAGCCAGCAGTGGTCAGGCTGGAAACACCAATGAAGTCACATTCGCAAAGTGCATCCCCCTGGCTCAGCTGTTTAGTGAGTCTGGAAGAAGGGATTTAAGCCAGAATCGTCCCACGGTGTGTCATTTCTCCCTATCCGGCTCGCGTGGAGTCCATATCAGTTAGCTTCCTGTAATTTCTCCTACTGTGATCACTGCTATAAAAATAAGTGTCACGTTTGACAGCACGAAAACCAGCGCGATGTTTTTCACGTTTGGCCAAGTCACAGGCTCCCTATGGGCAAGGCTCAGACACCAGCCCCATTGTCAGCCTCAAAGCAGGTGCATTTGCTGTTTGGTTCTTAGGAATTCCTTCGATCTCAGTGAGCTCTCAAAAAGAATGATGACCTCTAACAACATGTTAATTTCCTGAGGAATTTAACATGAGTATTATGAGACCTTTCTGATATAAAAACACGTGGCTTTTATTTTTTTTTTAAAGATTTTATTTATTTATTTGACAGAGAAAGACACAGCGAGAGAGGGAACACAAGCAGGGGGAGTGGGAGAGGGAGAAGCAGGCCTCCCGCCGAGCAGGGAGCCCGATGCGGGGCTCGATCCCAGGACCCTGGGATCATGACCCGAGCCGAAGGTAGACGCTTAATGACTGAGCCACCCAGGCGCCCCAAAACACATGGTTTTAAAAAATATCCTTGGCTGGGGCGGCTATGTTTGAACTTTGGTGGGAGACTGTCTCAGGCCCCAGGTAGAGCAGAGCAGCTGAGTAACTGTGCTCTGGGAGCTGGAGGCTCAGATGTGTCCAGAATGTGTGGTATTCTGGCTGTGTGACCTTGGACAAGGTAAACCCTGTCTCTGAGCTGAGGCTGTGAAAATAGCTGTAACGTTATAAACTGTGATAATATGGTGATGGCTTTTGTTGTTGTTGTTGTTTTAAGATTTTATTTTTTTAAGTAATCTCTGCACCCAACGTGGGGCTCGAACTTACAACCTTGAGATCATCTCTCCCCGGAAGAGACCCCAGGGCCCCTCCTCCTGGCAGATGGAGACTGCGCAGTGCACAGGCCCCCAGTACCGGGGCGGGGGGCTGCCCGGCTGCTCCACCGAAGGAGCCGGCCAGGTGCCCCTGTTGTGATGGTTTTTAGAGGAACCCCCCAGTAAATGGCAAGAATTCCGGGCATTCGGGTCACCACGAGGTAGCCCCAGGTTGCTCTCAGACCAGGTCGGGACATTAGTGGGTACAAACTCAGCTCAGCTTTATTGCCAATTAAGTAAAGCTTCTTAGCCAGCTTGAAATTGCCACTTAGCAATTGGGGTGGGCAAAGAAAACAAGGCCCATGACCATCAGTGAGGGTGGGCCGGGGCACACCCCCGGGGGGAGTGGCCCCCGACTTCTAGAACCGCTCCGGGAGACTCCGAGGGGGGCCGGGCAGGCCAAACCTCTCAGTGGAAAGATGGGAGGACAGGACCAAGGAAGCAGGTGTGGTGGCTGGAGCGGGGGAGCAGATCAGAAGTCTGATCCCTGACCTCAAGGAGCTCCCTGTGTCACGGGGCTAGGTTGAGAAGTGAATCAACAACTGTGGCAAAGCACGGGGGGGGCGGGGCTGTGATCAAGGACACATGTGGGGGATGTGGGAGGGAAGGGGGCGGGGGGGGCTGTGATCAAGGACACATGTGGGGGATGTGGGAGGGAAGGGGGGGGGGGGGGCTGTGATCAAGGACACATGTGGGGGATGTGGGAGGGAAGGGGCGGGGGGGGGCTGTGATCAAGGACACATGTGGGGGATGTGGGAGGGAAGGGGCGGGGTGGGGATTGGGGGGTGGTATGAAAACCCCGCAGCCAGTGGGGGACCAAGGGGACTCCCTTGCCTGCCGGGAACGACTCCGGGGACAGTGCTCAGCCTGGGCCGAGGAGCCGGCTTAGCCAAGGGGTGATGGAGTCACCCTGGGGGTGCCGCCCTCTGCTGGGCAGGAGGGAATGAAGAACAGCCCAGCCTGTGCTCAGCCCAGCACGCAGGGCCGTGCTGCCCAAGCCCCCAGGGAGGAGAGCGCCCAGGAGGTGGGGGAGGTGGGGCTTCTTCCCACAGGCCAAGGGAGCCACTGAAGGATTCTGGACCAGCAGGAGACAGAAGGCTGCTCTCCAGCGGGGTCGTGCCGGGAGCAGTTTGGAAGGAGGCAAGGTGGGGGGCAGTGAGGACCGTTGCTGGAATCCAGGGGGTGGCTAGCACCCAGGAGGGCAGGCCCTGAGAGCGCTGAGGGGTGAAGTCACGGGTGGAGGCCAGAATGTCACCAGCACCAGGGGCCGTGAGTGTGTCTCACAGACTTGGGGAGCACAGGTGCCAAGACTGAGTGCTGCTGGGAGGCTGAAGCCAGCCCTGTGTTCCCGAGGCCAGGACCCCGGGCCTCCTGCCCCCCACATCTGCGTGCCCATAAGGAAGGGCCGGGCCTCTCGAATGGGAATGGCAAGCTGGTGCTTTCCCCTTGGCCTCCCAGCTGGGCGGTCGGGCGGGGGTCTGGCGGGGGAGCTGCGGGCACCACCTGGCCACGCTCATCCCCACCAGCGCAGGAGGTACTCGTAGCTGAGGAAGGTGATAGCGTTGACAGGAAAGGCGCGGGCGCTGTTGATCATAAGCCCCCGGAAGAAGACCCCCAGTCCTTCCTGCCGGACACTGCTTGCCATGCAGTCCAGCAGCCCCCGGTACACCCTGTGCTTCAGCCCGGCCATCTGCATCCAGGACTTGATCACGTCCAAGGGGGTGGCCACGGCCCAGGAGACGATGCCTGCGAAGCCCCCTGCCACCAGCACTGTGGCTAAGCCCGGGGCACAGGAAGCCCAGGCGGGTGTCAGACCGAGGAGCAGAGAGCCCCCACCCCATCCCTAGGGTCCCTCCCCCAACCTCCAGGGCAAGGGCTAGCTCCCCTCCCCCACTGCTCTCTGTCCCCCCACCCGCTCACGCATCCCCAACTTACTGGGGTTCTGGCCGTCCGGCGTGGACTGGCGGCAGAGCCACTCACAGGTGACAAAACAGATGCCCAGCGTGGGGGTGACCCTCAGCGTCAGGGCCCAGGCTCCCCGGAAGAGACCCCGGGGCCCCTCCTCCTGGCAGATGGAGACTGCGCAGTGCACAGGCCCCCCGGTACCGGGGCGGGGGGCTGCCCGGCCGCGCCCTCGGCTCCGTCGGGTTTTGTAGCCGAACTTTGATGAGGTCAAAAGGGGCCAAGCAGTAGACCTGTAGGGAAGGAAGCACGGAGAGCCTGGGTGGGGCTCCGGGCGAGAACGGCGGCCCACCCTAACAAGAGGAAGGTGGCGGGCAGAGAGGGCCGCATCTGCCCGCGGGGCCTCGCCACTCCCGCTGCCCGCAGGGCTGAGCACAGGCCAGACCGCTGCCCTTAGCATCGGCCCCTGATGGCCGGCGGCACTGCCCGTCTCTCTGGGCAACAGCACCGAACTTGCCTGGCCCGTGCAAGGAGCTCAGAAACAATCCCGCATTGTTTCTCCAAGAGTGGCGGTAGGTTCTAGCCCCCAGAAGCCAGGGGTGAGCAGGCACCTGCAGTGACCTCTGAAGAAAGGATTCAGTCTCTGCCCGTGAGACAGGTCTGACCCCTCCCCACAGTGAAGGAGGTCACCTCAGTCCTGTTGGGGACTCAACTTCAGAGTCTCGCTCCCCCTACTTCCTGCGAGGCACCTCTCAGAGGCCCCTGAGGGGGTCAAGCGCTGGGCCAGCCTTTCCTGCCTCCCGCAAACCCCCACCTACTAGGATCCCAACAGAAGGTGGGCGATGGTGGGATCTGTGTCCCAGGACTCTTATCACCCGGCTGAGGTAGAAGGGACAAACAATTGGGGTAGTATTAGAACTGAGGGTGGTTCTGGGTGGGGGCGGAGGGAAGCTGGGGCCAGGGGCTAATGTGAGGGTCACGAGGCACTAAGGTCAAGGTCAGCTGTTAGAGTTCAGATGAGAATTGAGGTCAGGCTGAGGTTAGCGTGTTGCGAGGGGTTTCTGTGGATTTTGTTTCTTTGGCGGAAAGTACACGAGCCTAGTCCCTCAGCCCTGGAAGCTGGCTCTGGCGATGATGTTCCCAGGGCGGCGGGCCAACTTTGCTTGCTTCCTCCCCTGCTGGAAGGATGGTGCGCTGGGCTTCCTCCCTATAAGGCGGGATCCTGATGTCATCCTTCAGAGCCTGTGGGCAGCGCCAAGCTCAGGGCTTCTCCAGGGGACGTGACCCTGAGCCCAGGGCTCCCGACGGTGAGGAAATGGCTGAGCCAAAGATAGGGTGGCTAGCAGGGGCAGGTTAGGGCCCCTCGGCTCCCCATCCTGCCCGTGGGCGCTGTGGGGATGGCACACACTGCCAGTGTTTGACAGCGTCAGCCTTTCTGAGCCAAAAGCAACTTCTGTGCACCTCACAGGTGGTCATTCCCTGCCGTGGGCTGGCCAGAGTCACATCCTGCCTCTTCCGCCGCATCTCCACACTAAAACACAACTTCCGCTCCCAGACCTGTTAAGCCAAATCCATGGGCTTGATGGCAAACCGGGTTCCTGTTGGTCCTTGAGCCCAGTCCCCACTTCTGCTATCTGTTCGGCTTTGCAATGAGCTGGAGGGGAGGGTGACTTAGGAGCTGGGCCTGGCTGGGCCGGCCACTAGCATGGAGTCTCAGTTTGCTTCCTCGTTTTGGTGGGGTGCAGGTCTCAGGGCTTGGGAAATATGCGAGCGTGTGCCCTGTACAAGAAGGGGCAGAAGAAAAGCCAGGACCTTTTGGGGGCCTCATGAATCATTAATTCACTGGAGTGAGCCACCTGATTCTGTCTTTTGTCCTTGCTCTCTGCCCCAGAAAGTGTGTTAGGGGCATCAGGGCAGGTGCCAAATAGAGGGTGACCTCAGGCACCTGGCTGGGGTGTGGGGTGAAGCCAGACACGGGCCCCTCTGCCTCTATGCTCGTGCCCCTCAATCAGCTGGGGCTCCCCCTGGTGCCTGGAGGCCCCTCTTTCCTCCACCCCACCAATCAAAAGCCAGATACTTGAGTGCTGAGAACAAAGACCAAAACTAAATGATGGGAGCTATTTAATGATTAATACCCTGGGTCTCTCCCAGCGAGATCTGTGGACTGGGGCCTGGTGAGGCTGCAGGCAAAGGAGCTGAGCAGGGCGTGGGCTGGAGAGATGCCAGGACCACACCGGGACTGGAGGGGCTGGGCTCGGGGCTCTGGCAGGGCTATCGGTTTTCCAGGGCAGTAGGATCCCCCCCCGCCGACCCGGGACAGCACTGAGGCTGGCAGACCCCTCCAGAGGTCTGTGTGTGTGTGCTTGATAGCACCTGTGTACGCATGCCCCCACACCTCCCCCTCACCTGCACGAACCCTCCAGTGCAGCCAGCTGTGAAGACATGCGTGTAGCTGGGTGGCTGGGCCCGCCGCTCCTGGTGGGAGGTCGCTATGAGTGCCAGCAGCGTGTTGCTGTAGACCCCGAACAGGACGGAGTTGACCACAGCTATGCTCGCAATGGGGAAGCTCATTCCCTTGAAAAAGCCCAGAAGCTGTAGAAAGACATGGCGACCCTAGGGCAAAGGGGGCCTCCTCTTTGCCCTTCCCATCTCTGGCAGGGTCTCCTCTGGCTGGAAACCACTCCTGAGCCCTGCCAAAGGGAGGCTGAGGCAGGCTGAGGCTGGGGACAGCCTCAGGTCCCTCCTTGGGGCACTGAGCTACCACCCAGCCCCCAGGAGGCCCCGACTTTGGTCTCCTCTCTTCCAGGGGCAGAGAGCCCTGCCGGGGAGAAGAAAGCTGCTACTGACCACCCAGATGCCTCCCATGCCAAAGCCCCAAAGAAGCAAGACACCCACCGACTCATGGCGGTAAGTCTTAACCATACAATCGATGATGCCCCGGTATGTGGTCTGGGTCTGTAGCCGCACCTTGGTGAGGAGGACAGAGCAGGCAGCCCAGTAGGGACGGGCAGGGATGGCTCCAGCCCCGTTCCTCCCTCTGCCCAGCAGGATGCCAGCAGGGCAGGATTGATAGGAAAGATCCCCATCAGCCAGGCCCTGCTCTCAAGGCATCCTGACATCTGGTTCAGGTGACGTCCTTCATTCCTTGGGTGCCTCCCCTCGACTCACCTTTACGGTGTCAAAAGGGTGTCCCAGGACCAAGCCCAGAGCTCCTGTGTAATAAGAAGGTGCTATGAGGGGGCGCCTGGGTGGCTCAGTTGGTTAAGCGACTGCCTTCGGCTCAGGGCATGATCCTGGAGTCCCGGGATCGAGTCCCGCGTCGGGCTCCCTGCTCAGCGGGGAGTCTGCTTCTCCCTCTGACCCTCCCCCCTCTCGTGCTCTCTCGCTACCATTCTCTCTCTCTGTCTCAATAAATAAATAAAAATCTTTTTAAAAAAAAAAGAAGAAGAAGAAGAAGATGCTATGAGTGAGGCCCCTTGCGCCTGGCTGAGGAGAGAGGGATTCGGGCAGGAGGAAATGAGGCCAGGCCTTCCCGCCAGCCTCCAAAGAAACTCGAGCCAGCCCCTCTGCGTCCTCCTCCACACGGAGCGCTGGGCTAGGGAGGTGTGAGGACAGGGGGACCGTGGAGACGGCCTTGGCCGGGCGCAGAGGACACCCAGGCAGAAGGGAGGAGCCAGCCCCAGACGCGGCGTCCCCACAGAGTCCAGCACTGACCATCCTGCTTGCTTACCCAACTGAGGGACCGTGGGGCAGATTCTCCAGCGCTCCTGCCTGCCAGCCCGACTCCTTCCTTGCTTGCTTCCTTCCTTCCTTCCTTCCTTCCTTCCTTGCTTCCTTCCTTCCTTCCTTCCTTCCTTCCTTGCTTCCTTCCTTCCTTGCTTCCTTCCTTCCTTCCTTCCTTCCTTGCTTCCTTCCTTCCTTCCTTCCTTCCTTCCTTCCTTCCTTCCTTGCTTCCTTCCTTCCTTCCTTCCTTCCTTCCTTCCTTCCTTCCTTCCTTCCACGCACGACTGCTGTTGAGTATCGGGCCTTGATCCAGACCAGGCCCTGCCCTCCCAGCGCTTTACCCCCTCAGCCAGCGGTACGGAGCTGGGGGCCCTGTGGGCAGTCTTGCTGGCACCCGGGGAGGGGAGCCCAGCCCCCAGGCCACCTCCCCACGTTCTGATCTTGCCCTCCATAGCAGTGCTGGCCCTGGAGCCTTGGGCGGGGTCACAGCCCCAGGAGGGGGTTGTCCCTCTCTTTCTTCTGAGAGAACTGTCAGCCAGAAGCTGGGCTGGGTCCACAACACAGCAGGCCTCAGCGCCAGGACATGCAGCCCATCGCCGGGTAGGGCAGAGGCCCAGAGGGGAATGCAGGACAGCTGCTGGGGTCAACAGTGAAATTGCTTTCTGAGCCCCACAGGGTGGGCCTAGAGAGTGGGGTTCATGGCAAAGGTGTGCAGGTGTGTCTGGGAGAGGGCTCACCTTGGCCCTGCAGGTGAGGACAGCGTGGCTTAGGGACCTGCACCTTCCGCCCCGCGCCCCTGAGGCAACTGCCAGGAGGCATGGGGATAGCTGGTCTGGCACTCCAGAGCCACCAGGGCTTTGGTCTCAGCTCCTTCTATGTCCCCAGGCAGTGACCGACCGCTAGGGGGGATGTGACAGAAGGAAGAAAAACGTCTCACCGGAGATCCAGCCGGCCACAAACTCCTCCACGGGCATTGTCTGGCAGGGGCGGGAACCGGTGGCTCCGGAGAGGAGACGCTGGGGAGCGTCTGTCGGTCCCTGATCTCCCTCCCCCTCGCCCACCCGATAACCTTCCACTAATGTTTAACATGGCCTGGAGAATGAGCAGTGGCCCGGTGCCCAGACCTCGGCACCAGAAGAGGGGAGGGAGCCACCTTGGGTGGCCCTGACCCTGGAGGAAGTGTGTGCGGAATGTGAAATCTTCGGGGCAGGGACGATGGCCCGGGTGGCCCCGCCCCCTGCCGGCCAACAATGGCCTTGCAGCCCTGCAGCGGGACCAGGCAGGGCAGCCAGGCCCCAGCCAGCAAGGCCATGACTAACCCTGCCTGCCCTGCCTGGCTGGCCCAAACTCCCTCCGTCCCCGCAGCGCCACCCACCAGGCTGCCGCCCGCCTGCGACAAGCAGCCAGGCCAGCAAGAGATAGAGCATGGTCACCAGGGGGCAGGCCCTGCGCAGTCCCCGCACCCCAGGAACCCCCAGAGCCGGCAGGGTGGGAACCCAGAGAGGAGTGACTCCCGGTCCTGAAGCCCTGCCTTCTCCCAGGGTGGTGTGCAGCTCCCGCAGCTCCCTTGTGTGAGTCACAAACAGCCTCCCTCGCTCGGCCTTCTCTTCTCTGGGCCTCCCTGCCAGGGGACAAGCTGGGGATTTGCGTGTATAAAGGGTGGGGGTGTCTCAGCTCTGGGGTTATGAAAGCCCATTTCTCTTTGGACAATCACCCAAGCTGACAAAGCAGGGAGACCTGCATCCCTCTCTCTTCCTCTCTGCTTCCTTCGACCAACCTTCTCTGGGGCCAATACACAAAGCGTGTTAGAGCGTGAGTTATGATTCCACTCACCCGTCGGCTCCTTAAGAGCGGAGTCTGGTTAAATGTGCTCACTCTTCCCTGTTGTTTTGAAAGTGATATTTTACATCATTTATAAATTCATTGCATCTTTCTACAAATCAGATGACGGCTCACGCCCCCGTGTTTCTCACACCTGCCTGGTACTTTTATTTTTCCTGCTCCTGTTCTCTCTCTCTCTGCCTGAGAGGGGGCAGTGGACACCAGCAGAGGCAGGAGGGGCTTTGGTGTCGTCCGGACTGGGGTTCCAGTCTCAGCTCTGCCCCCACCAGCCCGGTGATCTGTGGCAAAGCACATGCTTCTGAGGTTCTTTTCTCCCATGTCCTTTGGGAGGCTCTGGAGGTCATCCAAGGGGGCTTCTGGGGCGGGGGGGTGGGGGAGTTCATGTTCAGGATCATCTCCATTACACTTCAGTGATTCCTAGGCAGTCCCATGGACTTGGAGACAGGATGCGGATGGACGGGGATGCACACGGGGTGGGGGTGGGGGGGGGGCAGAGCATCAGGGCAGACCCGAGGATGAGGGCACAGGCAAGGCCAAGTGCTGAGGCTGCTGCAAATGATGAGCGTCCCGACATTAACAGAGTGTACGGGGGGAGGGGGGCTGCTGATGTAACCTGCTGTCTACATCCACGGCCACAGGATATTCTGTCAGGTTCTATTCTTAGGTATGCTGAGAAGTGGGGCCGGGGCGGGGTCCTCTTTCCGGGGCACAGAGATCCAGGGCGCAGGTGCCACCACCCATAGAAATCTGCGTGAAGGCTCCAAATGTGGGTGCCAACCTTTGGAGTTCCCCTTGCCCCCTCCCTCTGTCTCACACCTCACCACCTTCCCGTAAGGAAATTGTGTTAGTATTGCCTTCGAAGCGTGTCCCAAATCCCACCCTTCCTCGCCTTCTCCACTGCTACCGCCCTGGCCCAAAGCCACTGTGGCCTCCACCTGGATTCCTGCCGGCCTCCCTGCCTCCGCCCCTGCCCCCGTCCAGTCTGTTCCCCAGGAGCCAAAGTGATGCAGTTGAAATTTAAGTCAGACCTTGTCTGTGCTCTGCTGCACACCCTGCAAGGGTCCCATCCTGCTCAGGGTGAAAACCGAAGTCCTTCCTAGGCTCTAGGAGCCCTCAAGGTGCAGCCCCCCAGTCCTTTGACCTCATCTCTGGGCACACCCTGGTCACTCTGTCCCACCCACCCTGGCTTCCTTCTCTTCTTCAAATGGGCTCCTGCCTCCAGGCCTTGTTGGCCTGGTCTAGCCTGGATTCAAACTTGTCACCTGCTGGGCATTCCTGGTGCCCCTTCCCTGGCTCTTCCTCTTCTTTCTTCCCTGGCACTCGTGACCTTCTGATGTACCAGTAATTAACTTGTTGTCTGTGCTGGGATCTCTGGCTGTTTGTTCACTGATGTTATCCCGAACGCTCAGCACAGCACATAGCAGAGAATAGGCTCTCAATACATATTTGGTGCAAGGATGGTTGAGTGGACAAGCGAGGGAGCAACATTAGTGGGCAGCCCTGCAGCCAGCCCTGGGTCTCCACTTCTCTCTCCCCATCTCCAAACAGCCCCAAAGAATGTGAAGTCCCAACAATATCCCTACCTGCCTCTCCTGATCTTGTGGCAACTCTTTGTTCCCCGTCAGATACCCAAGGACCAATCCCACTCACCCTTCCGCTTCCCCACTGTGGCCAAAGTAGAACCCACTCACCGCTACTTTCTCACGGGCAGACGGGTTTTAGGAAGCAGGGCTCATCTCTGACTTCCTCCTCCTAGAGCCGCCCTGGGCTCCTTGGGCTGCCCCAGCGAACCTTCCTGAGCATGGCTTCTCACCGAGGGCTGGGCTGCAGTCTTCATTCTGCTGCTCACTCTCTCCCAAGGGATAGCGGGCAATCCCTTCTGTGGGCCTTGGGTCCTTTCCTGCTTACAAAAGCAGGAAATCAGCCCGGCTGATGGCTGAGTCTCAGGCCTCTTGGCTCTAAAGGCCTGATGCCTGCTGCCCTCACATCAGAATGAGTACCACTCTCTTCTCTCGCCCCACCCCACCACCCCAGTTCAAGGCAGACCCACAACCCCTCCCTGGAGCCTTGTCAAAGGGCAGCGCCAGTCCGGGCTGGGCTCTCCTGCAAGTCCCACCAGGCCCATCTGCCTGGCAGGGCAGAGCTCTGACCTTGCCCCCCTCTAGCTCACAACCTCCAAAACCTCCTTGCCACCTGCCAAACCCACCACGCACACCCCCTGCCCCCATGCCACCCCATCTTCCCAGCCTCGCCTGCTGTGCTCTGACTGCCCAGGGCTTCCCCAGGGTCCTCACCACAGTTCCCCCTACCGGAACACCTTCAGGAATCTCTTCCAGTGCCCCCCCTCACTGGACCTGGGTTCCAGGCTCCTTACTACCACTGTACATACTGCCAGACGTCGGCTTTGTGGTTTGACCTTTCCGATCCTGTTTTCTCTACTGCACACCTCCTGGTGTGGTGTAAGAATTAAAGCACTTAGGGGCGCCTGGGTGGCTCAGATGGTTAAGCGTCTGCCTTCGGCTCAGGTCATGATCCCGGGGTCCTGGGATCGAGTCCCGCATCGGGCTCCCTGCTCCTTGGGAGCCTGCTTCTCCCTCTGCTTCTCTCTCTCTGTCTCTCATGAATAAATAAATTTAAAAAAACTTTAAAAAAAAAAGAATTAAAGCACTTAGGAAAGAGTCTGGCACATTGTATATACACCATGAACGGCAGCTACTATTACTGTTATTTCCACTCACAGGGACCCCGAGGATGACATGAGGAAACACAGGGAAGGGCCTGGCACACAGTAGGGCTCAGGAATTGAGGACCCTTTTCTTCCTGCTTGTAGTTTTTCATGGCTCTGAAGGCAATTCTGTCATCTTATGTAGTTTTAAGCATGCATTTCTCTGGGCAACTGGGTGGTGCAGTCGGTTAAGCATCCGACTCTTGGTTTGGGCTCAGGTCATGATCTCAGGGTCCTGGAAGCGAGCCCTGCATCAGGCTCCACGCTCAGCGTGAAGTCTGCTTGAGATTCTCTCTCTCCCTCCCCTTTTGCTCCTCCTACTCATGTTGTCTCTCTCTCTCAAATAAATAAATAAAATCTTTAAAAGAAATTACTTAAAAAATAAAATAACCATGCATTTCTCCTGGCCTTCCCTCTTCCCCCTCTCTACCTCCACTCCCTGATTAAATCATAACTTAGCTTCCTGAGGGCAGGGCAGTGTCTCACCTGGGTCTCTGTCCCCTGCCCTAGGCCAGACCCCACACCCGGGAAGCACTGAACTGTTTCCCACTTTGATCCAGCTGGTTAAGGGAGGCCACCAAGCCATTGTGTCCTGGTCTGAGGGTCTCAGAGCTTAGAACCTGGAAAGAGATGCTTGTTTGTTTGTTTGTATGTTTGTTTTGAGACAGAGAGAGCACAAGCAGGGACAGTGGCGGGCTGAGGGAGAGGAGGAGAAGCAGACCCCTGCTGAGCAGGGAGCCCAATGTGGGGCTCGATTCCAGGACTTGGGGATCATGACCTGAGCCGAAGGCAGACGCTTAACCAACAGAGCCACCCAAACACCCCTAGAGGAGTTGCTTGTTATTGCACACTCTTCTCTCCAGCTCACATCTGAACTTCTTTGAGTCCTTAGTTCATGCAAGGAAGACATGTTGTAATGGGCTCAAGTGTGGGGTAGCGTGGATTCTGGAGGGCAGGTAAAGAGCTGTTTATAGGGCGCCTGGGTGGCTCAGTTGGTTAGGCAACTGCCTTCGGCTCAGGTCATGATCCTGGAGTTCCAGGGTCTAGTCCCGCATCGGGCTCCCTGCTCAGCGGGGAGTCTGCTTCTCCCTCTGACCCTACCCCCTGTCATGCTCTATCTCATCCTCCCTCTCAAATAAATAAATCAAACTTTGAAAAAAAAAAGAGCTGTTTATATTGAGGATACTTGGACTGTGTTAGGAGATGGGGCTGCCTTCCCATGCCAGGGAATAAAGGCAGGGTGAGCCCATTCCTCCTCTTGCTCCCCACCCCCATCCCTGATCATCCAGCCCATTGCTGTAGCTAGAACAACTTCTGGTTCTTCTGGCTCAGGAAGGTGACCCATGGACCTGTTTTTCTCCCTGAGATCTACACCTCAGGCATACACATGCTGGTGTTGCCAGGACA